CCTACCGATACACATATTCCACAACCGATCTATACACCACCAGCACTTGCTACTATACCTCCTGAACCTTCACAACCATTTGTTTATGTAACTGCTACTTATTCTGGAGATGGAGATACTGTAGTTATTGGTTATATAAATGGAACTGCAACTACTGAATTTGTGTTTGGACCATATACAACTTTTATACCTCCACCTGCAACTACTGGACCACTTATACCTGTTATAACTACACCTGCAACTACTGGACCAATAGCACCTGGTGAAAATAAACTTTCACAGTGAATGGACCACTTATACCTGCTATAACTCCACCTGCGCCTACATCTTCTAAAGCATCCATTACTCTTAAAACATCTGCTACTTCTAAAGCATCTGCTATTTCTACTCACAATGCAGTTACTACTTCTACTCCTATGGCAGTTGCTACTCCCAATGCAGTTACTACTCCTAAAGCAGTTACTACCCCTAAGGCAGCTACTACTCCTAAGGCAGCTACTACTCCTAAGGCAGCTACTACTCCTAAGGCAATTACTACTCCCAAGGCAGCTACAACTCCTAAAGCAGCTACAACTCCTAAGGCAGCTGCCACTCCTAAGGCAGCTACTACTCCTAAAGCAGTTATTGAACGTGCAGAATTATCATTTGAACCACCACAGTGCTTTTCTTATAATTACGAGTATACTACATATTTAGTATTTACTACAGTAGAAACTTTGTTGATCTCAGTAACAAATTCACCAACGGCGCAAATAAACCCGCCACTACAAACACCACAAGCACAACCACCACAAACACCACAAGCACAAACACTACAAGCACAACCACCACAAACACCACAAACACCACAAGAACAACCACCACAGACACCACAAGCACAACCACAAACACCATAGACACAACCACAACCACCACAAGCACAACCACCATCACCACCGCAAACACCACAACACAACCACAAACACCACAAGCACAAACATCACCACCACAAACACCACAAGTACAACCACCACCATAGTCTAAAAGGAAATGTGGCACATCACGAGAAAGATTTTAACCAATAAATAAGATGCCTACTGCAAATTATAAGCTTCATTGGAAGTGATCTGCTATATGCTGACAAAGAAATATGAGACAGGGTTAACTCATGATAGAATACATAATAGTTATGAAAACTAACTCAACCTTAATTGCATCCTGTGTGTCAATAAAATAGCATGTAAGTTTTATAAATGATTTTTTATCGTAACAATGTAAATTATCCTATATATAGAATAGCAAAATTTTAAGAGATTTTTTACAGTGATGTTACTCATAATAGAAATCGCGATAATTCTAATGCAACCTTAATCATATTCTGTCTGAAATAGCAAGTAAGTTCTGTGTCAGAAGTTTTTAAGTAACTAATAATAGAATTCATGATAATTTTAATGCAAATTAACTCAACTTTAATTATATACTGCATGTTACCAAAATAGCAAGTAAGTTCAATAACAAAATTTTTTAAAGTAACCTACAATGCAAACTACCTCAATCTAACCAACACTAAGTGTTATGAGAATAGTGAGTAAGTTCTGTAACAGCATTTTACAGTAACTCTTGATAGAAACCACAATAATTTAACTAAAACCAACTCAACTTCAATTACATATTTTGTTACAGAATAGCAAGTGAGTTCTGTGTTTTTTGCATTAATTTAATGTAATTCAACCTTAACCACATACTTTCTGTTACCTGTTGGTTTTGTACCTGAGTTTTTTTACAGTAAACTAACGCGATTTTAATTACATGCTATGTATCACTAGAATAACAAATAAGAATTTTTACAAAATTCTTGGTATAAATTACGACAATTTGAATAAAACCATCTCAACTTTAACTGCATATTGCATCACCAGAATATCAAGTAAGTTCTGTAGCATGTTACTTGCAATGGAAATTATAATAATTTAATGCAAATTAACTTTAATTACAAATTGTGTCATTGGAATAGCAAGTTCCATTCCAGAATTTTTTATAGTAACTCATAATAGAAAACATGATAGTTCTAATTCAATATATCTCAACCTTAACTACATATTGTGTAGCACCAAGCTCTGTAACAGAATTTTTTTACAGTGCCTTATTATAAAAACCACATTACTTCCAATGCAAGTTAACTTAACCTTAACCACAAACCATGTGTCAACAGAATAGCAAATGAATTATTTATAGTAGCTCACAGTAAATTAACTCAACCTTAACCACATACCAGAATAATATATAACAGAATTTTTTACAATAGAAATTACAATAACTCCAATGCAAACCAACTACATACTGCGTATTACCCATATAGCTGTTAGACGAAACCTTAGTTCTAAAAAAAACCCCCCTTGGTGCTCCCGCTAAAAAAAAAAAAAAAAAACTGAATCCTTACTTCTCTCGCTAAAAAATTACTAGTGAAATTTTGGGCTATCAATAAAAATAATAAAATTATCTCTATAATTTAGATATTTAACCCATCGAATGAGGCTTTTTATTTATGTTTATTGACTTGTACGTATATTTAGGTTTTAAAAAGCCAATTACAGAAATTATAAACAGCAAATAAGCTATTAGCATATATGTTTAATGCCGAAGATGTTTTTTGGCTTGACCCGGCTTGTATATTTAGGTTTTGAAAAGCCAATTACAGAAATTTTATAATTGAAGATCTGAAAACAATGTATGTACGTACCTCATATTAATTTTTATTATCTGTGCTAATTCATTAATAAAAAGTCTTTTATTGATTTAGCCAGTAGGCGTAATAATTTTTAATTGATATCGATATACAGAAATATGTGGAATAATCTTAATTTTGCTAATTTACTTAATTGATCAATTACTTCTTATGATACAATTGTATGTTTTAAATTTTAGTCTTATCGTTATATAAACATAAATGTAGGAGCCAGTGGCGCCCTTAATTACACTTGCTTCCGTTTCTCATCTTTTATTAGTTTCGTACCCTTTGCAGTTTCATCAGTTTCGTCAGTTTCATCACCTTTCGTCAGTTTCGTCACCTTTCACCAGTTTCGTCACCTTTCGCCATTTCGTCATTAGAGATTTTAGTTGACGAAAGACGAAACTAGGTTTCGCATTTCGTCAGCGCGAAACCTCAAGGTTTCGTCTAACAACTATACCCTAAACTAACCCTAACCTAGGCCGGGTGATTGTCATGTGATACTGTGATGATCACTGGGTTCAGTGTTCTTTAATCTTCCCACTTTTTGTTATAGGGGTGCTAATTTCGGATATAAAACGAATAAGAAAACCGGTTTTAAATTAGTTTCTAATCTGATAACTATTAAAAGGGGTGCTTATTTTCGGATATAAAAAAATTATGGGGTACTTATTTTCGGGGTGCTTATTTTAGGACTATACGGTATTTGAATTTAAAGTTGGATCAAGCAGTTCCGACTGTGAATCGATTCTATAAAGGATGAAATGCAATTGGAGGCTAAGTTATAACTACACAGCCAATTTTTCATGAGGCATTGAATTTAGTTGCTGTTGTAATCAAAGCAAAATGCAACGTTCATTCATACATAATTTGAATGGCGTTTAGATTTGTTTTATAAGCCGTACTGCTTCCATAATGTTACAATCAAATTGATGGATTCAAACGACAATATCTAAATAAATTCAACAATAAAGTTATTATAAATGTTTTCTTTTGATATTCTTATATACTCGTTTTCAGAAGAAAATCAGGGTTTATTCTTTTAAATGACTAAGCATAAACATAATAAATCATAATTACAGTCTTTCAATGTAGTACTCATGTGCATAAAAATAAATAAATAAAAAAAAAATTCATAAAAAAAAAATAAAAAAATTAAATAATAAATAATATAAATAATAAAAAAAATTAAATAATAAATAAAAAAATAAATAATAAATAAATCAAACATTTCTTAAACTTTCGGATAAATGGTTCTACCTTAAGTTTCAATGCTTCTGTGTTTGCCACCTCTTTTCAGTTTAATCAATTTTGTTAGTTTGTCGTTTGTCATTTAAGATTTTGGATGAAATCGGTTTCACATTTTATCAGCGCAAAACTCCAGGTTCATTTAAAAATTGTAAGTACATATGCCACAATACAATGACGTATATATTACTGCACAGATTTATTTAAACAGTTATAAAAAACAGTTTGATATAAGAAACAGCTTTTTTTTTGAACAGCCACTATACCAAAATATAAAAGCGGAAATGGTGTATAGAATGAAAAATAGAGGGTTTTTAAATAAAAAGGCCTAAATGCTATATATTATATATATAGTATTTAGGCCAAAGACCCTATATATCTTTATGAAAATAAAACGATTATGGATTTAAGATTAAGCCACAGGCAGAAATTTAAGCACAACTTTACTAGTTAATACACATTTTAATTGATTAATAATTGATAGATCGTTAAGCACCAAGAAATTATTTTGCTATGTCAACCGAAAAACCTCAAGAAACTATTGTAAATATTGAAGACAAAGGTGAAAAAGTAAAAGAGCTATATTTGGCTATTAGTCCACATGGAGATTTTGTAGTAGAATTTGGTAAATTTTCTACAGAATAAACTATTATCTCTTCTAATACCATACTCTTATGCAATTAATTTTTAATGATTATTTAATTTACAGTATTATCGTCAAGTGAATCGATATTATGGGATTTGCAATTACGCATGTATAATGTTGATAACGTTGAGGATTTGGAGAAATATGACTACTTGGATAAGAAAAAAGCCCACTTGGATCAGAAAAATGGGCTATCGTACAGAAAACTTTCTGAAATTGCTGCATCTAAAAATACATTTGTAAAAGAACAAACTGATTTGATTAAATCTTTGATTAAATCTAGAAACAAACTGAGTTTGTCTATTGCTGTGTCAGATAGACTCAAGTCATATAAATCAACTGTTAGATTATTAGCGATATCTTGTATAAGCGAATATGATATGACATATTACCCCCCTAGCTCTTTCTCTAATCCTACTCCTAAACCTGGGTTTACTATCGTTTACTTGATTAATGAAGATTACTCAATTGGAAAAGAAATATTAAGGCTAGATAAATGCGGTGGAATAGTCAAATTGTTTTCGAAAAATGAAGATAACAAAAAGACGGATAAGGATAATTTTCAAACTATAGATAAATACTTTCTTGTTATTTTAAATGTCTCTGGGATTCATAATCATCACTTTGAACACTTAAATAAACCGACTAGCAAAATTCAAAGTTTAAAGTATCATTTCGAACACTTATATAAACCTACTAGCAAAATTCAAAGTTTTTATTATCCAAAGCGAATATATAAAGCCATAGAACGTAATAAATTTTCGGCTGAACGTAATCTGAAATATTTTCTAAGATGTTTAAATAAGCATTATTTTTTAGTAGATACTACAAAAGAGGGAGCAAAATATATGGAGCTATATGATTTAAAAACGATCCAGTTAGTAAATACCTTTAAGAGGCGAAATTTAAACAGCTCAAAAAATAATATGCTAGATATTTCTGATAATTTTACAATATCACACAATAACAAACTATTAGCGTATAAATCTGGAAATCAGGTAAAATTATACTTGACAGAATGTGGACTTGAGATTGCTTCTATAATTCTTGAGGATGGCAAACCTTTTTATGACTATTTCATGCATTTCTTTATCAATGATGAGAGATTATTAATATATCAATCAAAATATAATTGGACATTTTGGGATATTTTCGGTTCAGTACAAATGTCATTAAAGCTCAAAAATCCACTTGAGCTTGACCTTAAATTTTCAGATATTTTGAATACAAATCATTATCAATTGGAACGATCAAACTCTTTTGTAATAGTTATTAAAAACAAAGAAGAAAAAGAATCCTTTGAAGATAAGAAGGTTTATGACGATTTAATCTTAGATTATACGCATTTACAACGAAAAAGTGACAAACAATATTTGAATACACTAACGTTAAAAAAAAGCTTTGCAGAAATAGAAAATAATAAGTTTTTATTTTTGATCTTGACAATCAAAAATCAGAATTAGATAGCTATTATTATATAATTGAGCCTTGGTTGGAGCTTGGGAAAGGAGCTCCACGATATTCATTTTATCTTGATAAAGAAAAGGAAATTCTACTTTTGATAGGAAATGATACAATTCAGGTTTGGCATGATCGAAAAGATAAAAATGATCAAGCTAGAGAAAGAATCCTTGAATACATTAGCGTGATTGATAAGAAAAATGATGTTAAAAAAATTGAATATGCAATTAAAAAATTTAAACTTACCATGGATTCTCAACCCGTAATTGAAATTGGAGATGATGATGACGTAATAGAAGCTTGTCGCACATTTAAAATTTTGAATAAACAAGTTAATGAGGTTGATTATTTTTTATCATCCGATGAAAATCGCTATTCAAAATTTCAAAAGATAATAAAACAAACGCAAAATATTATTGTAAGATTTATTCAATTATATCCGACCACTTGGCGATTATTAGATGTTCGCTATGATTTATTGGGTATTCTTATTAAAGCAGATGAATATCAGCTTATAAAATATGTATTATTCAATGAAAAAAAAGATATCGATTATTCTCAAAAACGCATTCTTAAAACACTTGATTATTTAGTGTCCAAATTAGAAAAAAATGAACTTTCACCTGATATAAAGCCAGATCGGGATAGTATATTACATGAGGAATCACTTCATATGCCCCAAAATTCTTCGTGGGAAGGTAAACAAAATACGATAAGTAAGGCCTATGAAGGTTCGTTTATTTAAATTTATGCCATTAACAGTAAATGTATTTTAATTTTTAATTAATTTAGTTATTCTTATTATTAGCTAAAGATCCGATATATCTAGGATATTTATTAGAATATTATTCTAATAAAGCAGTCAAAAATATTAGGTGGATGAATACAGTTGGTGATATTTTACCATGGCTATTTAGAAAGGATAATGGTTAGTTATAACTTTCTTACTTAAACAACATGTAAATTATCTCAAAATTTATCTTTTTTCATATAGAGTTTTATAAGTCGTATCAACAATTATTCTATAAATTATTATATTAACGTTGCTTTTATGAAAATGAATTGGATATACTCTTTTTTGACTTTCTTGAAATCCCACCAAGCACATATGACTCTTTAGAAGTTTTTATACCTATAACATAATTGATTCCACAGGATTCTGTTTTGAAAGTAGGCGAAATCAGGTAATTTTCCTGAAATGTTATCCTCCACTTTATTACTTGTTTTTATTATTAATCCAATTAAATTTTAAACATAGCCATGATAAAGTTCCCGATGTTCAAATGGTACCCTTAATTGATTTTGTAAATAATAAATCACCGGAAGTAAAAGGAAACAAATTCATGAATTTTCTAAAATCTATAGTTCTTCCTAATAAATTACTTTACGGAGTGTGCACTATTCCTTTTATTACTCTTCTAGATTGTGCTGAATATGATTATAATGATCCTTTCTACTTTAATCCGTCCATGGAAGCCATTATAAATTTTATGTGGTATTCGTCCAAATCACCTTGGCTCAAATCATTATACATTTTTATAATATACCTTTTATCTTATTCAATTATTTCTTGGATGTATATTGCACACATTCAAGTGACCGGTGATTTTCAAAAAATTCTGGTGCTTGTAATCATTATGCTATTTTTTTATTTAGCTTATCATCATTTAATAGTTGAATTAAATCAAGTGCGCCACAAAAAAACGGAATTATTTTAAAGATCCTTTTAATTGGGTAGATCTGTTTGCGCTTTTATTGCCAATTTCTATTTCTTTTTATATTTTGGTTAGATATTATACTTTTGAAGATGGGTTTAAATATGCTAAAAGTAACTTATATTTAGCATTTTTAATTTTTATAAGTATTATAGGTATTTGGTATGAACTCGTAAGTATATGTACTTATACTTCTTGTTACTTATTATAAAATATAAAATTTTTTATTGTTTACAATATTATTATTTTAGATTTTATTATTACGTATATTGCCAGGTATATATATTGAGTATATTAGTCATAACTTTAAGTTTCATAAGCTTACACATGTGTATTTATATATTACTTAGGCTTCGCACGTCACCTAAATATACTCTACAATATTGTTATTCATATTCGTTCGTTTTTATTATTTTTTGCTTTAACAATAATTGCAATGGTAGATTCTAATTAAGTTATATTACTGTCTTATTATTTTTCAATATAATATATAATTACTTACCCAATTTATTATATCTCCTTTTTAGGGACATGCATTGTAAGTTTATTATGTAGTAATCTAAAATACTCAGATTTTTAAAAATTTATATTAATTTGGATATTTTTTATACTGCATGCAGATTTATTTTTCTTGGCTATGCATCATACATTGGATTAAGTCAATCTTCAACAACATACAAAGTTTTCAATGGAAGTACTATAGTTTATAATATGACTGAAGAAAAACCAGAAGATATATTTACAAACCCTTTTAATGCTATAATTGCTGCATATAATTGGGATTCAATTTTGTTAGATGGTTGGGGATTTTGGCCGCTTCTTATAATTAGCGTGATTGGTAATTTCATTTTTGTCATTATATTACAAAATGTTATTATTTCATTTATGAGGTATGTTTATGTTATTATTGTATTCTACGAAAAAAATTATTTGAATGAAATTATTAATAATATTCTCTAAATCCATTTAAAGTGCAGCTTTTGAGAATGCTGATAAAAATGGAAAACATGTTATTCTCGCTTTACAAAGTCGTTTAATTTGTGATTATGCAAATCTTGAAAATTCTGTTTTAACTTCAGGAAAGAGTAATTTAAATTACAAGTTTAAAGATAATTTAAGAGTGAAGTATATATGTTTTTATAATGAACCATCAATTACAAAAACATGGAAAGAAGAATCCAAAGAATGTGAATCAAGTCCAATCTATTCAAATATTGAAAGTCTAAAACAGACAGAAGAAGATGAAAGTGAATTTTTTATTGAAAAAGAAAACATTAAATTTATTTGGACTTCGGCAGATAAAAAGGCAGAAGAGGCAGCATAAAAGAAGCAGGCGAGACAATGGAATAAATAGATAACAATGGTAGGATTTAACAAGTATTTGATAGTTGGCATCAACGATTTATTGTTATATCTGCTTCTCTGAAAATAGATCAAACCTATCAAATTACTTATTTGATGCTTTAAGAAATTATTTTATTTTTTTATAATATAAATAAATCATTTTAATAAATAAAATAGCAGTTTTTATAAAGAAATAATTCAGATTTTAAAACTAGTAAAATGTTTACATAATTAATTTTTCATTAATATGGTTTTAGATTATCTTAATTATAAGTTTTAGAGTTATTACCTGGGTCAGGTCAACCCGATGGGTCACACGGCAAAAATTGCTTTACGGTAACCTGAGCAGAATTCAAATTACTCTCTATAATCACTCAATTGGGATGCAAAAAATAATTATAGAAGTTAAATTTATTGTATTTAATAAACTATAGTTTGTTTTAAAAAAATTCAATTATAAAGAAAATGTGCTTATATAGGAGGTGACTATAAAGAGATTTGACTGTATATAAAAATGGTTTCTCGCCTTAATAAAAGTATCGATCTATTCAAAGTCTTATTCAAACATGAATTACTAATAAACTATCTTGAATAAACTGTCCTGACACTACGATTAGAACTAAACTGCGTTTTATGTGTATCGCTCTCCAGAGAGTCGTGACTAGAGATGGGAAAAATGCGCATTTTATAATAACATGCGCATGTTATATAAAATGTGCATGATATCGCATGATATAAA